GAAGGGTCTAGGCCCGAAACGTCAGCCTCCCTGCTCCTATGATGCTGCTTGGCCTGCTGTGTTCATCCAGCTCTACACCTTGTTATCTCAGATTCTCCAGCATCTGCACTTCCTACTATCTCTGATACGTTATGTAAGTGGGCAAAATGTTGGAAAATGGAGTATCCCGTGGGAAAAGGTAAAGTTGTTCACTTTGGAAGGGAAGACAAAAGAACAGAGTAATATTTAAATGGAGAAATGTAGAATGCTGCAATACAAAGGGAAATGGAGGTACTTGAGCACAAAACACATAAAGTGAGCAGACAGGTTCAGCAGGTTCTTAGGAAAACTAATGGAATACAGGCCCTTATTTCAATGGGGATGGAGTATAAGAGTAGGGAAGCTTTACTACAATTGCACAAAGTGTTGATGACACCATATCTGGAGTGCTGAGAGCAGTTTTCATCCCCTCTTTAAGGAAACAGTTCACAGAAGGTTCACTAGGATGATCCCTGGTATGGAGGGATTGTCTTAGGAGCAAAGACTAAACAGGTTGGATCTCTATATATTGGAGTTTAGAAGAATGAGAGGTGATCTCATTGAAACATACAAAATTCTTAAGGGGCTTGACACAGTAAATGCTGAGAGGACCTTTCCCCTCTTGGAGAGTGTAAGACCACAGGGAATAATCTCAGAATAAAAGGATGCCAATTTAAGCTGAGGAGGAATTACTTCTCTCAGAGGACTGAGAGTCTTTAGAACTTCTTGCCCCGGAGGACAATGGAGGCAGAGCCCTTGTGTGTATTTAAGGCAGAGATAAATAGATTCTTGATCAGTAGAGGAATCAAGGGTTATGGGGAAAGGGCAGGAAAGTGGACATGAGTAGTGTCAGATGAATGACAGAGCAGGCTTGAGAAGGCAAATGGCCTACTCTTGTTCCTATTTCATATGGTCTTAACCTAGTAACTTGTCTTCCTTTGCACCTTCTCCAGAATTTCTCTGTCCCTTCTATTGTATGGTAAGCATAGTACTTCAAGAATAGAACATGCATCATATCCCTATAGTGTGGAAAGAAGCCATCGAGTCTGTGCCAAACCTCCAAACACCATCCTACCCTAGACCCAACCATCCCCCACCCTACCCCTATAACCCCACATTTCCCATGGGTAGGCCACCTAGCCTGCACATCCCTGGACACTGTGGGCAATTCAGCATGGACAATCTACCCAACCTGTACGTCTTTGGACTGTGGGATGAAACCCACACAGACACAGGGAGAACATGCCAATGCCACATAGACAGTCACTCGTGATGCATATTATCTCTGGTACCAAGTGCTGAGGGTGCACTCATTAAGCGAAGAACAATGTCCAACAGTGGCTGACACCTTAAGAGCCGGAGAGGTTCAAAACGGCCTTAAGGAGTCGCTCCTCTGTAAATAGCTCCACCTTGATTACACGCTGCAAGCAAGAATTTATTTCAATGCGGCATGTCTGACCCATCATGAAATAACATTGGCATCAATTTACCCAAAGCTGGTCATCAACTCCAGGAGGATTCTTTTTAATGAAGGCTCCGTAATAGGTAGCAACGTTTCGATGGTGCGAATACTTTTTAAGCATATTAATTTCCTGTTTGATCTCCTCCTCTTCATCCTGTGAAAAGCAACAAACATGTTTGAAACTAGTTAGTTAGTTATGTGAACCATCAGATGAGGTTTTGCACCCTTAGTTTGGAAGGTGAGGCTATTTCATGTAATTCCATGTAAACATTTGCACAAATCATTTGAAGCAGTTAAACAATGCAGTGAATAAAGCAGATGAGATCCTGAGCCTTATAAATAGGAGCACAGATTCAAAATATCAGCAAAACAGGCTCAACTGTGCGACCCCAGGAATATATTGTACCTAATTCTCAGCACCACACTTCAGAAAGGATAGATTTGTGATTGTCAGGGGATCCCAGGGTTATGGGGAGGTGGGGACAGAGCTGGAATGCATGGGACGGGAAAACAATTGAGTTAAGGTCGCAATCAGATCAGCCATAATCCTAATGAATGGTGGAACAGGCTTGATGGGCTGAGTGGCTGACATCTGGTCCTATTTCATGTGACCTTACTTGAAGGCTTTGGAAGGAATGGTAGGATAATGTTCCTGGACTTGCAAACTATTTTTAATGAATAAATCAGAATTTTAAAAAAATCGAGTATCAGTTATTGTGATCATGAAACTACCAGATTGGCAATAGAGCCCAAATAGTTCACATATCCTACAGGGAAGAAAATCTGACATCCTTACCTAGTTCAGTCTACATGTGACTCCAGGTGCACAAGGTGGCTTGCTCTTAACAATCCTTTCAAAATGACCCAGCAGCCACTCAGGACAGCCATGATTCAGAAAGCAGCTCCCATAGGAAATTAGAGGAGGACAATAATTGCTGGCCTAACTAGTAATGCACACAGCCTATTAATAAATAAATTAAAGGGAAGCAATTCTTGAAAATAATTCTGAGGATGAAGGCATACACTTACGTGAATTAACTGGAGAAATTGGGATGTCGGGCCACCAATTTAAGACAGGTGTGCGGAAGAACTTCTTCTCTACAAGTTTTTGAGTCTTTAAAACTCCTTGCTGCAGACAGTTACGGGGTTTAAAGTCCTTGTGTAGATTTAAGGCTGAGATAGATTCTTGATTGGTAGCGGAATCAAGGGTTACAGGGAAAGAGCAGGAAAGAGGACATGAGGGATGGCAGATCTGCCATGAGCCTATTGAAAGAAGGAGCAGGCTCAAAGTAGGGGGGCTGAATGGCCTACTCCTGTTTTTATTTCTTGTTGTCTTCTGTTCTCCAGAGAGCAGAAAAAGCAGTAATGATGAAGGTGTGAAAGGTAAGGAAGCGTTTAGATAAATAAAAGAAAGAGAAACATTTTCTGAAAAGTCGATAATCAGAAGACACAGATGTAACCTGGATTGGCAAAGGAATTGTGGAATGAATGAATAAGATTTGGAAGTTACTGCCTCAGTTGAGTGATAGGTACATATTCAATAGGACCCTTTAAAGGGAAGTGGATAAATAACTGAAGGAGTTAAAGGGAAAGAGAGGAGAGTGGGACTGACTAATGTGCTCTTTGAAAGAATCAACAGTGGGTGAATGGCCTCTTTCTTACTGTACTATGCTACAACTCAATTCAGTACCAGTTTGGTTTCAAAATGATTGAGTGTGACCACCGTGGCATTAAGGTGTAAGCAAGCTAATGAATTTTATAAAACAGAAAACCCATTTCCTTTCATCAAATAAGCAGCCTTCCTGTTCCTCATCCCTCACCTGGACCCAGCTTCCTGTTGATGTCTCAAATTTTCCCTTAACTCTTGTTTATGCAGTGAGAATGTATTATTTCCACTTTGACAATCAGAAATTATTGGATAAAAGAATCAGGAGGCAGAGAAGGAGATTTTTTTTTATTTGACAAAAGTGCTGTGGTGTAGAATAGGCTGCTTGACATAAGTGATGGAAGTGGATTTAATTAAAACGTTTGAGGGCAAATTAAATAAAATTTTCTGTTTCAAGTGTTTTTAGGATCTGGGGGAACAGCAGGAGGACTGGGACTAATTGGAAAGCTCTTTCAAAGAGCCAGCAGAGGTAAGATAGGATGAATGGCCTGCATTTTCTGCTGCTTGATTCTATCATCTATGTTATGAAAACTTTTCTGCAGCAAATTATCTCCTTGGAAGGAATTTATTCAGAAGTTTACTTGAAAATAACTTTAAAAACTATGATGATCTCGGCCTACTCACTAATTTACTGTGAGACAGAGTCACAGTAGATGGGTTTGTTTATGAAACATTGCTCTTAGGATGTTGATAGGAGTTTGATGTGTTTTTATAAATTGTCACGGTGACCATTCCTGAAGCCAAATTCAGATTCCAGATTTTAATTAATTGAAGTTATGCTCACCAGTGACCATGATGGAGATTTGAGCTCATGCCCCTATAAGCATCGGTTTGTGGTTAACTAGTCCATCGGCATTACCACTGCACCACAATCTCCACAGACAGTAGTGCAAAGTTGGAGCCCATGCAGCTCACTCACACTCCCATTTCATGTGTTCTTCTCAGATTCTGCCTAAAAGAATTTGTGAAGGGGCTGTGGCATGGTGGTAATGTCATCTCACTAATATGCTGTCGCCCAGGTTAATCTTCAGGAGACATGGATTCAAATCTAACCATGGTGGCTCGTGTTATATAAATTCAGTTGTTTCAAATTTAGAAATAGTGTCTGTGACAACTTACTATTAAAAAAAACCCATCCAACTCCACTGGAATTCAATCTGTTATCCTTATACGGTCTGGCCTACATGTGAGTCCAAGCCACAGCAATGTGTTCCACTCTGAAATGTCCTAGTAAGACACTCAATTGAAAGGCAATTAGGGATTGATATCAAATTGTAGCCTTGCCAGTGGCACCCACATCTGATATAAAAGTGTATCACCTCAAGATGAATTTCAGAAATTCAGCAACACTTAGACAGCACCTTCCAAATCCGTGGCCACTACCATCTAGTGGGATAAGGACAGCAGATATACCGCCAACAAAAAGTTCCCTGTCAAACCACTCATCATCCTGACATGGAGCTATATTGACACTCTTTCAGTGTGGCTGGGTCAAAATCCTGGAATTCCCTCCCAAACAGCATTGTGGGTTTACGTACAGCACATGGACTACAGCAGTTCAAGAAGACAGCTCACCAAAACCTTGTCAAGGTACAGCTAGGGATGAACAAAAAATATTGGCCCAGCCAGCAATACCCACATCCCGTGAATGAATAAAACAAAAGAAATTTAATAATATTACAGCTGATCTTTGAGCTCTGTTTTCTCGTACAATCCCAAATCCCTTAGGGTCTGTGTTACTTCAAGGAATCTTTTCCTAAGACCACCCAGACTGGAGAAGAAGCATCTATGAAGGTGCCAACCATTTTTGATTGCCGCAATTGGAGACCAAGTGCAATGTCTATCTTTTAAAAAGTGAAATATGGCTGTAAAAGCTCTTTCAGCTGTCCTGAGGTGGTGGAAGATTCGACAGAAATGCAAGTCAGTGTTTCTTTTTCTCTGTAAAGGGCTTTCCAGTGGCGCCAGTTTAAATATTTTCATCAGATTAATAATCTCAGCCAACATTGGGGCTCCTTCAATTAAGTTCAGCTAAACTAGTCATTACTGGGGAAGGGGAGGGGGTTTTGCATAGTCAATGGAGGAGGTGGGAAACAGTCAAGTACAGATTTATTTTCACAAAAAGTGAATGAGAAATGGGATGAGAGATGAAATAATTACAGAAATTTTACCAGAGTCAATTTTGCCAAGAATGTCAAAGCTAGGCCCATCATTAAGATCTCAATGTTAAGCTGTAGGGAGATGACAGGACCATAATCTACAGTCAGAACTGTGACTGCTTTGGAACAATAATGTTTCCGTCATGTGTCACCAGATTTCTAAAGATGGCTGCAGGGAGGAGATGCTGTTGAAAGGAGAATGTTTTACCTCCTATTGTCTGACAGGGGCAAAGCGAGGTGAGGACAGATAAAGCACACTTGAACTACCCCACGCAAAATATAAAGCTAGTTTCAGCTCAGCAACACTGGTAATGGAAGGGAAAATGATGAGAAATGTGTGACGCAGCAAAGTGTACCTGCCATCTCACTGCTGTTAGGCAGCAGCAATGGTGGTGGGTGTGAGGACACAGCATGGTATTGACTCTGAGAGGGCTACACTTAGACCCCATCTTCTCCATCAGTAGGAGTGAGGAGCCCTTACAAAGTGCTGCAATCTCTGCATAAAGTGTGATACTGCAGCAAACCTGTCCCCACCTGTACTGTACCCAGTGTTATACAGTGACAGACCTGTCCCCATCAGTACTGTATCAAGTGTTATACAGTGACAGACCTGTCCCCACCGGTACTGTAACCCAGTGCTATGCAGCGACAGACCTGTCCCCACAGGTACTGTACCACAGTATTATACAGTAACAGACCTGTCCCCCCAGTACGGTAGCCCAGTGTTATACAGTAATAGACCTGTCCCCCCAGTACAGTAGCCCAGTGTTAGACAGAGACAGACCTGTCCCCACCATTACTGTACCCCAGTTTAATACAGTAACAGACCTGTACCCACCAATACTGTACCCTAGTGTTATACAGTAACGGACCTGTACCCACCAATATTGTACCCCAGTGTTATACAGTAACAGACCTGTCACCATCAGTATTGTATCCCAGTTTATACAGTAACAGACCTGTCCCCTTCCGTACGTACCCCAGTGTTATACAGTAACAGACCTGTCCCCATCAGTACTGTATCCCAGTGTTATACAGTAATAGACCTGTCACCATCAGTACTGTATCCCAGTGTTATACAGTAACAGACCTGTCCCCTTCCGTACGTACCCCAGTGTTATAGAGTAACAGACCTGTCCCCATCAGTATTGTATCCCAGTGTTATCCAGTAACAGACCTGTCTCCTTCTGTATGTACCCCAGTGTTATAGAGTAACAGACCTGTCCCTATCAGTA